CCCGTTAGTTTCCGTATGTAGGAAAAATAAACATTTCCCTAACGTAATCGTAACCTCAGCAGTGGAGAACACGCATCGTTTTTTTTTTTTTTTTTTCATAACAAGGGTATTCGACAAGATTATAAAATATATTATGTAAATAGAAATAATTTGCATCCCAAATGTCTGGAAACTAAAAATGTTTATTTTTCCTATGTCTGGAAACTTCAGTGACACTCTGTAGACTGGTTTAGAGGCGGGAGTAGCACTGTCGCCCGTGTCATTTAGTCCCTTTTTGTCTGTTTCTGTGTTGGTTCTTCTGGTGCTGATATCTTTCTGTGACACAAATCGAGGCAGTCCGGCGGGGTTTTCTTTCCACTAATCTCTAGCTCAGCGGTTCTGAAACTCTCCTGAGGCTGGCACATCAGAAGCATGCCGTTCGTTACTGGGATGAAAGCAAAGACTGGTAACACTGAAAACATCTCATGCACGTTGTTAGAGGTTACTAAGGAAGTTTAGCACCAGACTGGCTACGTCATCCCAGAGAATGTTTCGTCTGTTAAAATGCAGCTTGTCGTGAACAAGTCTACAGTCAAACCCACCCGACCTGGACTACACGTTAAATTACTTCCTAGTCGTTTTGTTGTGCCCCTGTATAACGGTGCTATATGGCAGTAGGGCTGAACTCGGTTTACGAAATTTGTAGCTGTTTGATTCTCATCCTTGAGTTATTAATCATAGAGACTGTAAATCTGGAGGGAGCAACGTTTGTGTGTGTGTGTGTGTGTGAAAATAAATGGTTTCCGAATCTTCCTGTGTGGGGTTGACTATCACTAAGCTTCACGAAGCCTCAGTTAGTCTATATTAGTTACTAGAAAAATTAAAGAATGGAATTTACATTGTTGGCGGTTGCTTTACGGTGCCTTAGTTACTTGTGAAGAGTGCTGACATTTTTTTAAATGTCAGTATTGTTATAATATATCAGCTAAATTGAGCAGTATTTTGGCAGTGAGAACATTCCTGGATCAGCGGCGTCGTCGCAAAGAAATCGTTAGGAGGGGATGAGGCAACCGCTTATAATTGTCTAGGGGTTGGGGGGGGGGGGTTAGAACTTATTCAAGTGAACAGTAATAATAATATTAATAACAACAGTCGTTATTGTGTGCTTAAATCATCTAGGTCATAGTTGATTGAAAGTACACGAGCTAGAATGTTGTGGATAGACATCGTGACTACCCACGCCACACGACATTGAATATAAGAAAAAGAAGAATGTCAAATAAATATGACATTATGTTAAAAAATAAGAAATAATTTGTAAAAATACAAATATTTAAAACAAATACTTAAAAACAAAAGAAGATATATACATGGCTGGGAGGGGAGGATAGACCTAACACCCCCCCCCCCCTCCCCCCCTCTTTCCAAGCCTACCTGAAAATTATTGTTGACTGAGCGCACATGCTCCGGAGTCCTGTCCTAAATGTCATTGCTACCATGTGTCACCCTTTGAGAAATAATGGTCCATGTCTTTGTAGCTATTGACTGCCCAGACATCGTCGTTGTTGAGTGAGAATTTATATAGTTCATTTTGGGTGGAAGTGGTGCGGGTTCCAAACTGTCGCCATTTTGCCTTGCTTTGATTTAATATAAATATTCTGTTATTCAATATAAATACCACTGTTGTCTTTGGTAAGACTGCATGGAGAGGCCGTAATCTCTTACTATTGCCGGAAAACACCAATAATAATTTTTTTTTCGCTGTTCACCGTGGGGGAACAAACGTTTTGATTTACTGAGCGAGAAGCAGGTGCTCTATTTGTAATGGAAAAGAGGACAGTTTCCCGTCGCCTCACAGCATAATATCGTGGCCTAGTTTTTGTGAAAGCTGTAGCTTCTAAGCCGAATGACAGGGCTACATAGCAGAATTAACGTATTCTTCACCTTCAGCTTTCCGTAACTGTACAGGAAACATGAATCAGATTTCTGTCCTGAATTTTGAGTGTTCAATTAAGAATCGACATCACAGCACGCAGGACAATTCCATAAGTGCTTCGTCCCCATCTTCATCAGCAAGCGAAGAGTTCCAGTTTCGATGGCACCAGTAACTGATTGTATATCTGTCTCGCAGTTCCGCTGAGTGTTGAGCGTCGGTCAGATTCCCTGGTTACTCTTCGCAGCGCCATTCTCATGAGACCATATAATCTATTTGTGCCACTCGCTCCCAAAGGGCCCTCACTACATTTAGCTTGTCATACATCAGTTTACCACCAAGTGGTGCCGAACGAGTCACTCTATCTGCCTGCTCGCTTCCCAACACACCGGCATAATCTGGAAAAATTATCCAAAGGACGCTAACTACCCGGGACCTCTGACGCAATGCTTGCCACTATGCACGGAGCATGCCTGTCCCTACCTTTTTCACCATGCTCTGGGAGTTAGTTAGGATTACCTCGTGTCCGTCCGTACAGCTGATTCTCAAGCTAGCGGAAGGCAGCAGTGACTGCCTCCACCTCCATTATTAAACAAGACATTGTGATATCATATGCCAGGCTTTGCTGCACCAAGCGACATCAATTCGCTTTTGCTATGTACCCCCATGCACTTAGTTTGTCTCTCGACACAGAGTATAGATAATCACATCACCTTAACGGGAATTGTGAATTATTTCTTGAACTTCTGATTCTGCAGCATCAGCTGGCCAGTCCCTGCACTCCTGGCCTAAAGAGTGATTGAAACCCTACACAAGTCTGATTCTTGCTTGGACACATTGACCCACTTCTCCACATTGACCCACTTCTCTACATTGACCCACTTCTCTACATTGACCCACTTCTCTACATTGACCCACTTCTCTACATTGACCCACTTCTCTACATTGACCCACTTCTCTACATTGACCCACTTCTCTACATTGACCCACTTCTCTACATTGACCCACTTCTCTATTGACCCACTTCTCTACATTGACCCACTTCTCTACATTGACCCACTTCTCTACATTGACCCACTTCTCTACATTGCCCCACTTCTCTACATTGACCCACTTCTCTACATTGACCCACTTCTCTACGCACTCAAATTTATCAAGCCTGCACACATGTCTAGTTGTGTCTTCAACTTGCGCCATCCAAGACCTTCCTCTTTTCAGTCGGTGATCCTTAGCTGTACATAGAGCTTCATGCAATAGGTGCTTCTTGTCTGCAGCTACTTTTAGATATGACTTTGCCTGCAGAACTTTGCACCTGTCTGCAATAGTAGGCAGTGTAAGTATATATGACACACATATTAACAAGGTATGTCCTGTACATCCCAGAATTACCCATGGCTTCATTCTGTACACATTCAGGTTTCATCAGCTGACTCTTTGATATGGTAAGCATTCAGGCCCATTACCTATCACCGACAGGATCACATGCTGGAACATTGTTGTGACGAGCGTAAGCTTGAGCTACAGTGTGACGTGCTGTAAAGGCTGCGTGGTGATGTGCGGCGCACCAAAGTGACTAGGGGGTGTCTCAATGTAACAAATGGCATCAACACTTAACATGCCACTGGCCAAGAGTAACACAACATGATGAATGCTGAAGCTTCCAAACGTAGCTAAACAAGAACTCTCTTTAAAAGTTCCATTTGTGTATTGACAATAACGATGATCAACACAAGGAGAAATTGTGCAGTTACTAATCAAGATTCATTCAAGCATATCAACAAAAGCCCGCTCATACATCCATGGACTGATATGTCCTCACGATAGGTCGCAGTTCGACCTTGAGATCCAGACAGTCATCTTCGGACTGTAAACATCAACTGCAAAGTATACCGGCTTACTGCCGAACTGTGGCATCCCGGGGTAAAACGTTCTCAAGGATCCACCGTGGCATCCCGGGGTAAAGCATCCTCAAGGATCCACACCAGGGCCGGACTTCCGTCCGCCTTGGTCAAACTTCGACTTTCATCTCCTAGAATACAATTCCTTCACAACCTGACGTATTGTTTTGACGTCTTATTTGCTTACTCAGTACCGGTGCGTTCTGGTGCACATCCGCACGCGACAATTGTGAACAGCATTCTTTGTTCCATGTCTATTACTGCCATGATCTTGAGAGCATTGAGTCCTTTTTTGGCATTTCACCACAACTGCCTCAACATGATCCCTAAAGGACAGGCTTCAATCGAAAATGATAGCCAGATGCCTCAATTTGCTTTCTGTTTTCATATTTCTGTCATTACTTGTAAGGCTTTAAGCTTTAGCTATTACAATTCTATTGTCCAGAGACCACCACAAAACAGCCATTTTTTCTGAGTGATGACAGCACCCATCTCTGCACACCAATCACAGCACTCATCTCTTCACACCCATCAGTCACTGTGTCTACTGTTGCCTGTAGCTCTTGGGTTTTCCGTTGCCTATTACTTCCCTGCCTATATGCAAGAACATCATCTGCAAATGTCAGTATCCTTCAAACACCCAGTGCTTCAAGTTTTGCCATCTTGCTTGTATACACATTGAAGAGCACTGATGAAATTGCAGAACCCTGACGTAGTCCCGGGTGATATTACAGGGTTTTGAGGTCTGCTGTCCTGAAATCTTGATAAACCCGAACAGAGACATTGGGTACAGGGAGCTAATCCTATATCGTTAGACCGTTCAGTACTCATTATGATCTGGACAATATCACACCGGCCATCTTTGCTTCCCATAGACTCTGTTTTACCTATTTTATGTGTTGTTTGATAAAAAAAAAATTTTTTTTGGTCCATATCAACTGATTTTGCAGGCCACACAATGAAGAGAGCCATTCGTTCCCCATCCTGCTGTAAGCTACGGTGCAATTTTGTTATTAGTCATGTTTAAAATCTTTCTCTTTTACCAAAGGGTGTAACAGTATTACATTCAAATATGTCACTACTGTTGAACTATTTTGTTCATGTTATACTTTTATTTCGCTAAAAACAAAATGTTTTACTGTTTTTTTTTTTTTTACTGTATTATTAATGTTTTTCTTTCATTTTGCCAGGACCTTCGATCTGACCTCAAATCGGAGCTGAGTGGGAAGTTTGAAACGATAGCCATTGCATTACTGGACCATCCTCGTATTTATGATGCAAATGAATGCAATGAAGCAATCAAGGTGAGAGACAAGACTTGTTATAATTTACAGAATTTTGTTTTTAAAATGTTGTCATTGTGTTCTTTTCATAATGGAGTTGATTGCCCTGAAACCAGTGCTGTCTTTTAAGAATATTACAAGGTGGAGCTTAAGGAGAAAGTATTAGAAACAAACTATCAGGAATCAGGTGGAGATAAATCATCATATAGCAGGTCCTTTGCAGAACATCGTTGTCATCATTGTCTGCCTGAAAGAAAATCAGTCTCTTGCCAGCTCTCCCACCTTGTGTACTTTCATATTCAAGGAGTCACTTGTATCCTGTATCCTGTGCCCATCCTTATGTTGGGTTACTATGCCGTCAGCTATGATTTTTTTCAAGTCCGCCGTGGCGCTTGACATGACCAAAATGTTTCTGCTTCTGAAACAGGAAACCATTTTTTAGCCAATCTTCGTTGATGTTCAGATCTTTTAGAATATCAGTATTTCTTGTCTTCTTTGTCATGGTATTCTGAGAATATTTCTATAGCATTTCAGCTCAAAAGCCCCTCTTTTCCTTCTTAAGGACAAAGTGGGACAAGTGGGGACAGACCAGGGCTAATTTATACTAATAGATATAAGGTCAAATGGTTCAGGCAAATATCAGGATGCCACAGGACAGCCCACAGCAAAGAGCCCTGTCACTTAGATAGGTCAGAAGCAGATCTAAAGGTTGCCTACACAAATGATGGATAGATGAAATATCTGAGGGTGTCATAAAACTGCCCAGGCTTTGTGCAGTCAAACATGCAGGTGGGTCTTGCTAGCCACACTCACCAGGCGTGCCGAAGGCCTTTTCAGATCTTGACCCTGAAAGGCTGAACAGAAATTAGAGAAAAGAAGAAACAGCAGTCTCTTTCACAGTGTGAATCTTATGCCACTTTGTAAAAGCCCCTGAGAATGATCTGAAAGACTTTAATGTTCCTTGCATTTCCTTATTGTATAATAAGATTTAGAAAATGTATTTTTATTAATATGGAATTCATTCAGTAGTGAGAATCCCCGTGTGGGTTCTGGGGTCCCATTGGTGGGAAAACAGGAATAAACACACTGCTTCCCCAAAAATCATGTCGCAAGAGTCGACTAATTGGGGCTTCCTTCAAAGTCGGAGTGTATCTGCCTGAGAGGCAAGGAACCAGCAGTCTGCATACAAATGAGCAAGGTCCCTAAAACGGGTGCACATGCAAAACTCAGGTCCTGGAACAAAGCCACAGTTCAGGAATGGATGAACAACCAGGTCTTTCCGCCGGGTTTACAGCCGGTGAATGCAAACAGCAGCAGTATTGAGAAGTGTCAGGATTTGCTCACACCTGTAGGGTTTCTTTGGTAGACTCAGTTTCATTAAAAAAAACAGGTATCAGATTCTTCTTCTTCTACCCATTCCCCAGCTGTAAACTGCTATGGAAATTCCTGGTTATTTATGTACTTCTGGACTTCGGTCTTGCTTCAGAACCTGAGCTCTACATACACATCTATCTGTTTTACAGATCTGGCTTATGTGTATGCAGATGGACGTGAATCATGGCCTCTTACTCAGTCATTGAAGAAAGAAAAAATAAGAGAAAGCTTATGAACTGAAATGTTACAGAAAAATTATCAGAATACCATGGACCAAGAAGAAGAAAAACGCTGACATCCTACATGATCTAAGCATAGAAGAGAATTGGCTCATAAACAGCATCCGGTCCCAAAAGCTAAGGTATTTTTGCCATGTTGAGTGTCATGGTGGCCTGAAGAAAATGGTGATAGAGGGTACAGTTTCTGCAAAACGAGGCAGATCTCATTGAAGGAGGATACAGGACATTTGAAGATGCATTGGTGTGAGGACACATCTTCTTCTTCTTTTTCTTCAGCATTTTGAACCTTTGAGGTTCATTGCTGCAGATATCACCCACCTCCATTCATCTCTCAGGTTGGCCTTCTCTTTCCAGTTGGTAACACCAAGTGTTTGCAGGTCTTTCTGGACATTATCTCTCCATCATCTTCTTGGTCTGCCTCGCGGTCTACGACCATTCATCTCCCTTGTATATACAGTTTTACTTCTCTGTCATCTGACATTCTCTCAATATGCCCCAACCATTTCAGTCTATAAGCTCTCATGATGCCAGTTATCAATGGTGATGTAAACAGACTATGAATTTTGTTGTTGCTTCTCACTTTCCATTCCCTGCCATTTGCATCTTTGATGGGTCCAAAGATTCATCATAAGACGTTTTGGAAAACCTGTAATAAGGCGTGAGGACACATAGGGCTGGAAAATTGGCTAGAGAAAGAGGGACTTTCAGCTGTGCCGTGACGAGAGCGACTTTCTGTAAATTATCTGCTGATTTGATGATGATGTTAGTGTTTCTCCCTCAGAACACCAGCCTGGAAGATTGATACCCACTGACTCAAATAGCCACTTTTCGGATTTAAATCTGGCTAACTACAATTTATACACCCCATTCCACTTATATAACAGATGATATTGGGGTAGTCTATGGACCAAGCCATCATGTGGACACCAGAAGGTGAAGACAAGAGAGACCCTATATAGAACCATCATCAGGGAAGGCTCAACCATGGGTTTAATAAACCTCTAAGATCTAAAACAGGTGGCATCAAACCACCAGACATTCAGAGCTATGACTTATGCGCCACCCTAGGCTCAAATGGAAAGACTAACTAACTAACTATGTTAATTAGGTAACCTGTTTTCCTGTATGGACGGCACTACGATCAAGAATGAGGGATATACAGTGCAGAATTAAACACTCATACAGTGTTCGTGACTTCTAGGCATATTGTTCCGAAATTGCTCATCAATGTCAATTCTCCATCAAAATAATATTCTCTTGGTGATACTTTGTACATTAATGCCATGCAGAAGATGTCATTTCTAAAGTGTATATAACATGAAGATACAATGAAATTTTTATAGCCGTTGGAATTGGTTTGAAATGATTGCTTCTTTTACCATTAGTCAATGTTACCTCACTTTTTGTAGAATACTCTGAATTAAGTACACACTGCAACAGGTCTTTAACTATGAAGTGGTAATTTTTCCTTCATAAAGCTTATGAAATTTACTATAGTTTTGATAGTTTACTCAGCCAGTGCTTCTCTTTTATACACGACCTCAGAATATAAATTTTGTTGTAGTAATGATCAGCAAAGCCTTGTGTTACAGGGGTTCTCATGTAAGCAAATAATAATAAGACTGCACCACAGAAGGCATGCCCTAATTCTCATTGAGTGTTTTTGTCTTCATCAAGTGCCTTGTTGACTGGTGTGAGTGGTTTTGCCTGTGTGTTCTTTAACATCATTATCAGTTCATGTGCTGACACCCCTCCATCCCATGACAAAAGGCTGTAAAGAATCTGACTTTCAACACCACCACGGCCACACAACGAGTGATAAACACCCGCTGAAACAAATTGGCTCTATTCGGATGACAATCACCCGGGTACAAGTCCCATAAACCCTGTTCATCCCTTAGGTTAAATTAGGGCTCCCAACTACAGCTGCTGTGAGCCTTTAGAATAACATAGAATTGTATCCCATATTGGGGCGAGGTTTATTAAGAATCTTCTCATGTTGTCTACCTCTGTCTCTTTTCCAGAGATTTTTGTAGTGGTCACAACATGCTCCAGTTTCCTTTTTCTCATAACGTGAATAAACAATGATGACTGTCTCTTTTTGATGTTTGTAATAAGTTGTCTTCATGCCCTTATCTCCTTCAAAACATCTGGGTTACTCCTTTTGACTGTTCAAGGGATTTTAAGGATTCTTCTGTACCACCACATCTCTGAGGCTTTAAGAAATTGTTTTCCTTGTTGATTAATTGTCCAGGATTCATAACCATTTGTTAAAACTAGCTCTGTTTAACATGCAAGAATTCTTTTTCTAAGCTCCTATGACATGGATTTATTGCATAAGTTCTTTATTTTATAAAATGCACATTTTGACTGTCCTCTTCTGGTTTTTTTTTATGTTTTTTTTTTAATCACTGTAATATATCTTCCATCTGATGTTATTCATGTACCTAGATACTTAAATTTCCATCATCATCATATAGCAGGTCCTTTTGAACGTCGCTCTTATCACAGTCTGCCTGAAAGAAACCCGGTCTTTCGCCAGCTCTCCCACCTCATGCACTTTCATACTTAAGGAGTCAATTGTATCCTGTGCCCATCTTTGTGTTGGTTGGCCCTGCTCCTCCTTCCTGGTACCATGCCTTCTGCTGTTATTTTCTCCAATCTGTCGTGACGCTTGATATGACCAAAATATTTTAGCTTCCGTCATTTTTGGCTTCCATGATAAGTTTCTTGGGATATTAATGTGGTAGTTTCCCTCAGTTTCCATACTTGTTCTAAAATAATGCCATTGACTTTTCTTATACATTTAGGCACTTTTCATTTCTTTGATGTCTTTCTGTTATTCAGGCTGAGGCCCATTCTTTCACTTTCTGCCACTACCATATCTTATCAATTCCTTTTGTTCATTCTATTAAGACAGTGTTAGCAAAACATAGGTTGTTTATATTATGACCTGTACCAACAATTCCTACATATCCATTATATATATATATATATATATATATATGTGTGTGTGTGTGTATCTTCTTTATGCTGCAAAATGTTTCTAAATGGTTGTTATTTCTTTCAGCTGCTGTTTACTGCCACTACATGTTCCAATACACGTGCACAATTCAGTCAATATGGCACCATATATTTAATGCACCATCTTTTACTTTTTACACCATCGATCCTTTACTTTGTTAAAAACAATGCTGTTATCCAAAGAAGTTTTACTGTTTAAAAAAAAAAATGCATAGCTTCTAAAATGAACATAAAATAACGGTTATCGCCATTGGATAGCTGAGTTTCTTTTTTCTTTTTAACAATACTTTTTTGATTAAACCTCTTTCCTTTATTACTGGTAAATGTTTTTTTTTTAAATATCCAGAAACCATGAGTTCTTAATCCTTTGGTTTGGTTCTATGGATATCGCAACCCTTTGGCCTTGATTCCATGATAAATACCGTAGATCTGGGAGAAATGTGGCTTTTCTGCCTACCCCCTGGCGTGAACCCGGACCACAAGGAGTTTGTCACCCGGTCGTCGCGAAGTCAGGTTTAGCCAACTACGCTAGCAAGCCGGGCTTATTACTGATATAAGTACTGTCTGAGAGCGCTGTTCTTTCGTCTGACAGCTTCAGCTGCATGCTTTGTTCCAAAGCTATTGGTGTTGCCGTCCTTTGGATTAACCAAGCAAGGTAGGCAGAGAGAGGGATCATGATGCATGGTCTCCACAGTACAGTATAGTTTTTATGCTGTCAGATGGCATGGAATTTGGATTCTTCTACTTTACATTTTAACTATTTCTAAACCAAGAACTAGAATGCTGGTTAGTCTGTAAATATATATGGCTAGATAGAATCTGATACCCACAGGCCTGATTACATGAAAACTGCTCTTTTACTTACTTTTACTTGTATAACATAACATACATTCATTGACATATCTTTTTCTTTTCATAGCACAATAGTATAGTGACTAGGCCCTCACCCGCCGGGTCAAATGTCTTGCATTTCAATCCACATCAAGGCTGATTTTCTTCAGAATTGATCTTGGCTTCCAGGTCAGCACAACCTAAAATGGGTATCAGGTAATGTCCTAGGAAGTAAAAGGGCTGAGGGGATTTTGACCACATTATCCACGAGGCCTTTAAAATTTGAGTCAAGATTTATCAACCCGATGTGCCACTGTCGTATACAGGATGCTTTACTTACTATAGGTTACATACTAAGAGAAACTCTGTGATGAAGGTTGGTGTGAAAAAGCTAGAGGACCCAGACTAGACTCCTCATGCACAATATTGAAACACTGCACAAGATAAACATATTGGTGGAATTGACAGCAAGCCTTATATGATGTATAATGACCTTAGTGTATTGACCAGCCAGGCTCATTGCACACCAGACAAGTCCAAAAGGGCTCAGATCTCATCTTCACTATTTCCCTCGGCCTGTTCTGCATTAGTTTGCTATTCTTCTGCTTTCTTCTGCCTTTCTATCCCCCAATGGAGCATAGGCCCTCAACCAACTCACACCAAGTCGTTCTATCCTTTGCCATTGCATGGAGCTCTCCCTATGTCCTCCCCATCTTTCTAACTTCATTCTCCAGCTCTCTTCTCCATGTGTTTTTTGGCCTTCCTTTATTCCTATGCCCATGTGGGTTCCAATGCAAAGACATTCTAGTTATGCTGTTCTCCTGTTTTCTCAGTTTGTGTCCTGTCCAACGCCAGCATCTTTTCCTCACCTCTTAGTCCACTGGAGCCTGTTTAGTTCTCTCCCAAAGCTCTACATTAATTATTCTATCATACCATTTAATTCCCCCTATTCTGCGCAGGCACCAGTTAATGAATTTCTGTAATTTTCTTCTGTGGCTGCCTTTATAGTGTTCAAATCTAGTAACACCTCTTTTGATATGAAGTTCTTGTAGACTTGTCAAGGTTGCCAGTTCACTGTCGACACATGAATCACCTCTCATCTGCCTCATTAAGAGCAGTGAGAACCTCGACCCAGTCCAGTGCCTCCCATGGCCCTGCCAGCAAGCCAGTCTGCTCAATAATTTTCTCTTACTCCAGAGTGTCCTAGTACAAAAATGAAACTGCTTCCTGTCAGAAAATGTGATTATTATTAATTTGGAAAACACTGTCTTTTACTGGTTGTTTATTTGATCTGTTTGTCAGGGTGCAGGCACAAATGAGGACACTCTTATTGAAATACTTTCTACCCGAAGTAATGCAGAGATTGCAGAAATTAAAAGCCAGTACAAAATTTGTAAGTTTCACAGCATTGCCAGCTAATAAAAAAAAGCCTTGGGACAAACCACATATTTTTATTTGACCAGATGTTTGTTCTGTTTGCGTATGACCAAGCGCTAGTTCTGTTTATATGGTACCAAATGCTTGTTCTGTTTATAAGTAACCAAATGATTGTTCTGTTTATATGTGACCAGATGCTGGTTATGTTTATATGTGACCTGATACTTTTTCTCTTTGTGTTTGACCTGTTTACTCAGGTGTATCTTTGTAATTTCTCAGGGTTGTTTCAAGCTGTAATGTTTGACATTCTTCTTTTTCCTCTTTATCGTTCGTCCGAGTAACGTAATTTGTGTTGTGCATGTTTACAGCGTGGCTGCGTTACTTCATCAGGCATTTGATCACCTGGTTAGCTTACCCAGATGTTTGACATTTGATCAAAAGCTCTAATCTCTGATCTTGCATCTGATTACCAGTATGAAAATAATAGCGTTTATTTTAAAGGTCATGTGTGTCTTTTTAGTTAACCCTTTAACCTCGTTCTGGTTTAAATTTGCATTGAGTGAGATTTTTATAATTGACCTATGACTGCCAGGTCGACCTAGTTTAAAATTGGTACCTGAAAATACCATAGGAAGTAAAGTCAGTTAGTGCCAGACTTAAAATATTTAGTCAGTACTGTTGTTTTGAGCTGAAACATGGAGAAGAACTGCAACAGTTGTTCGTAAAATACAAATAGTCAGTGACTAGTGTCTGAAAGAATATAAGAAATCACAACATAGTAAAAGAGATAACCAGTGTAGGGCTGGGGCTCTAGGAGAAAACCAAACAAAATCCAGTCAGGAGGTGAGGGAAGTCAGGGGCTCTAGGAGAAAACCAAACAAAATCCAGTCAGGAGGTGAGGGAAGTCAGGGGCTCTGGAAGAAAACCAAACAAAATCCAGTCAGGAGGTGAGGGAAGTCAGGGGCTCTGGGAGAAAACTAAACAAAATCCAGTCAGGAGGTGAGGGAAGTCAGGGGCTCTAGGACAAAATCCATCAGTCAGGAGGTGAGGGAAGTCAGGGGCTCTGGGAGAAAACCAAACAAAATCCAGTCAGGAGGTGACGGAAGTCAGGGGCTCTGGGAGAAAACTAAACAAAATCCAGTCAGGAGGTGAGGGAAGTCAGCGGCGTCAGATAGGGCACACTTTGAGAAAACCTGATAACTTATGCAGTCACTGTTAAAAGGGTGGTAGGTACATTGCGTTGTGGTTTACAGCTAGACTGTGAGATCTGTGCCTTTTTTTTTATTTTTATTGGCCCAACATATCTGATTTTAGAAAACCCCTAATTATTCATATTTTACAGCTTGCTTGTTGGAAAGGGGGAGGAGTGTTCCTATTACTCCCCATCACATGCAGCTTGTGCCACATGCTCCCTGTCTTTGCTTTCACAATCCTCTTATCCATTTGCATTTTGATCTGTCTTTATTCCTTTGACCATGCTGTTTCTTATGCATTCTAGTTTTTTGCTAGAATGTTTTAATTTTTCTCTCTCTCATCACATGTCCTATCAAGTGGCAGTAGCTTTCCCTCACCTTATTTTTCACTGGAATTTGTTAAGTAGTGTGTTCACTGAATCAAACAATGAATGTGATTAGTGATTAGAAAGGATTATCATCACAGCACTCCGGACAGATCCATAGGTGCTCGGATCTCCTCCTCAAAAGCTCCACAAGTGTAAAATGACTGATGACGCCTGTTCTGTGTTGGTTAATGAAACGTCTAACAAATCAATGTGCAGTTCATTAATTATGACAATTTCAGTGTTTAAACGAGACCTGGAGCGGGACATCCAGTCTGACACCAGTGGTGACTTCAAGCGTCTCCTGACCTCTCTGGTGACTGGTGCGAGGGAAGAGAGGCCACAGGTGGATGTGGAGCTGGCCAAGAAGGAAGCTCTTGAACTCTTCCAGGTTTGTTGAATGAAAGAAAGGCATCTGTTTTGTCTCCTTTTTTTTTTCTCTCCTAGCCCTATTTAATAGCTGAACGGTGTAATGTATTTCTCTTAGTTTTTGTGTGTGTGTCTTTGTAAAAAGTATTCATAGTATGTACGAAGGGAAGTCAATAAATTAGTCACAAATGGTTGTCTAAAAAAAAAAAGGATAACAACTTGAAAACCATTTTTTTTTTTACACACACAGTCCCTTTATTTTTCAACATAATTTGCACCAAAATTGATGCACTTGTCCCTTCATTTTATCAGTCCTCCTAAACCTGCTGCATAGAACTGTGTGCTCTGTTTTATAAACCACATTTTCACTTCACATTCACTTTCTGCATCATTTGTGAAATGTCTTTGCCAAGGTGGGTTTTCAGTGGACCAAAAAGGTGGAAATCGCTAGGGGCTAAGGCGTGGCTGTAAGATGGATGTTCGAGAAGTTCCCACCCTGGATGGTTAATTTCTTACTGAGTTAACCGAGGCGTATTAGGTCTGACATTGTCATAAAGGATCAGTGCTTCTATAGTCAGCAGGCCTGGACGTTTTCTTCAAATTGCATCATGAAGCATCGATAGAACTTTACAGTATGAATCAGCATTTACATTGTAGCCTCTTTTTTTTTAAATTGGTTAAAAACTCTCCTTGACAATCCCAGAACACTGTCAGCCTAATCTTCCCTGCTGATGGTGTAAGCTTACATTTTTTAACACAAGGTGAAGAAAGGTGTTTCCATTGAATTGAAGCGCGCTATGATTCAGGCTGGTAGTGATGCATCCTTGATTCGTCCCCAGTAATAATTCTGTTCAGCATGTCTTCTCCTTCATCTGCCTATCAACAGAGATGTTGTAAGGACAGGCCTAATCTGTTCATTTTGTGTTCATCCATCAATTGTCTAGGTACCCACCTTGAGCACACGTGTCTTAAATTTCAATCAATCATGCATTATATTGTATGCTGAACCATGTGAGCACCCTATTGCAGCTGCTACAGAGTCAACCCTTACTCACCTTTCACCTCTAATTATCTCCTCCATCTGCTGCATGGATAAGTCTGTTGCAGTCTCAATAGGACGAACAGATCAGACTTCATCAATGATTTTAGAGTGTTGTTGAGAAATTTTTTTTCACCCAGCTATGCACTGCTGTACAGGATAAACATTTGTCAGCATAAACAGGAAGCATTTTATTTCCGTATGAATGTCTTTTGCAGGCAGTCCTTTTGCCCCCCAGAAAATGCTCAACAGCACATTGTTCTTTGAGTGTACAGTCAACATTTTGATTCTGTGTTGTGAATGCACAAACAAGACCTAACATCACCTATGAACGCAGACCTAAAGTCCGATGTTGCTGTCACCTAATGACACCTTTAGAAACTACCAACTACATATTCCTGCCATCCCATAACCATTTGTGAATGACTTGCTGACTTACCCTTGTATATTGCTGAGTCAGCTTAACAGTAATTAGACAAAAGGCAAATAGTGTGTGAAAGACAGGTGGTTGGAAGGGCGAAATGCAATGTAGGCCTATATGCCCAGTTAATGATCGTTTGAAAAAAAGTAATTTTTGTTCTGCTAAAGGATTGCTGTAGCATAGAGTAAGATGATGTCTATAGGGGATTCGGCACCAGAAATATCATCTAGAATTGCACTTCCATCTAGTGCCTTTAACAAACTGTCAAACATCTGGAAGTCAAAGACTCTCAGCAACAACACAAAACTCAAGATCTTGAACTCCTGTGTGATTCCAGTGCTAACTTATGAATGTGAGAGTGGGAAAGCAACGGATAGCTCTAGATAAAATATTAGACAGTTTTGAGAAAAAATGTCTTAGAAGAAAACTAAATCTTCAGGGGACAGATTTCAGATTCAATACGCTAGTAAGACTAGAGACCAAACAAGACAATGTATCCAGTTTTATAAGAAAGCACCGATAAAACTACATTGGCGTTGCTATGGACACCAGAAGGAAAAAGAAACAGGGACAACCAAGAGAGACCCAACGTAGAACCATCTTCAGAGAAGGCTCAACCATGGGCCTGGCAAACATCCAAGACCTAAAACAGGTGGCAACAAATCGCCAGACTTGGAGAGCTATGACCTCTGCCCTGGGCTCAAGAGGAAAGAATAACTAACTGAATAACTAAAGGATTGCATTAATCTTTAAATCCTCAGGCAGGGGAGAAGAAAGTCGGCACTGATGAAGCCACCTTCAACCGTATCCTGTGTCTGCGCAGCTTCCCCCAGCTGCAGGAGACTTTCAACCAGTACAGGGTTGTCAGTGGCAAGGACATTGAGAAGGCCATCGTATCCGAAACTAGCGGCAACCTGGAGCGGGGGCTTCTGGCAGTAGGTGAGAGTTCAACAAATCAGTATGTCACTGTGCTTTTTTTTTAAAGGGTTTTGTGTGCATGTGTCTAATTACTGTTGGTTTCAGTACAAACATAACTTTTCTTTATAGTCAGTCTCATGTGGCATTGGCAGTCATGTCTATTCACAACCTTCTGTCTCATCTACTTTCAGTCAGCTTTGACACAGATAAATATCCGTGCCATGATGTCGGACTGTCAACCATCTTCTCTGTCAGTCTCCCTCTGTCTCTTTTCCCCTCCAACTTTCCCACTGTCATGCTGAATTCCAGTTTTCTCTGTCTCCTGACATGACCAAAGAATGCAGACTACATCCTTCTGATGTGTTCAATCAGTTCTCTTTGTGAGTCAGTTTCTTTCAAGACATCTTCATAAATCTTATATTCTGTCCAGTGTGTTCTCATCATTTGTCTGTAAAACTACAACTCCGCCACTTCCAGGAACGCACTATTTTTGCAGAAATACTCACAGTAGGTTGCAGTTTCTTTCTGTGAGACCAGGGCCCATTCTGGGTGGGTTGTGTCCTCTCCCATTGTGGCTGCAATGGTGTCTTCTGCCTAGCACAGTTAGAATGATGATTAGTTCTGAAAACTTTTCAGCTGCTCAACATTTGTATCCATCACCTTCCTGACCACCTGACCGTGTTTGGGAGTAGGTGCACCGGTATATGTCACAAACTTACCCGCATCATGCCGGGCATGAGATTTGCCACAGGCTGTACGCCTAGCTGTGTCATGTTATTTCCATTGATGTTTCATTATTTTCAACGCTATAAACATTCTGTATTCCATGTTTTGAACGGCCCCGCATTTTCATTCCTGTTTTGTTATTTTCAATGCTGTAAGCAGTCTATATTCAATGCTTTGAGCTGCCAGCACATTCTGTTTTCCATGTTGTGAGCCATGTGTGTTACATCTTCATCGCTGTCACTGCGGCTTACTTGATGACCTGAACTTCAAGCTGAATTTCTTTTTAGGACACTCCCTTCTACCCACCCCCAGATGGCCTTTTTCAGAGCCCGCCCCAAAAATGTCACCAAATCTCAAACCAGTGCCGGTTACACAAGAAATGATAGCTTACAGAGAAAAGAAAACTAGTTGAACACTCAGCCGTGCACACGCACACACAAAAGACCCCTTTCGCTCAGTGTCGGCTGCCCTGAAATAGAGCTGCAGAGTTTCATCATGTTGGGCCTCGAACGAACGGTAACCGATTTTATGCGGCGTGTGTATCAAAGGAATGCGCATGCTAACGCCCTAGAATATACAGCAGCTCGTAGGAACGGACGACGGCATGAAAGGGAGTCAACACAAAATCTCGCACCTGGCATGATGTGGGCAATTTTGTGATATGTACCTGGTGCACCTAAGTGGATACTCTACCCCTGTCCATGAAGCGTCCTACTGTCTAGCAGAGTTAAGGAGGCACCGTACATCTTTTGTTGGTAACGTTTATCCTGTGTTGTTTCCTCAGGAGACAAGTTGATTGGTTTACATGAATACCATCCATACATACATGTTCTTCTTCTTCTTTGCGTTCACCATCTGTAAACTCTGGTGCAAAGTTCTAGTTGTTCATCCACTTTTGGACTGCAGTCCTGTTCCAGAACCTGAGTGTTGTGTGTGCATCTGTTTTACTCATCTGTATGCAGACTGCTGGTTCCTTGCCTCTCAGGCAGATGTACTCAGACTTTAAAAGAAGACTCTTATGACATGCTTGTGCGTAGGCAGTGGGTCTATTCTTGTTTTCCCTTTAATAGGACCCCGGAACCCACACAGGGAATCTGAAAAATGAAGCAGGACAGATATCCCTCACAGTGACTTGGTGTGTGAGGCTCAGATCTGTGTTGAATAGTGGTTAGGTTTAGTTATCAGAAAAACTTCATCATTCATGATGTGGTCTCTGTATAATATACACCAGGGATCTCATTCTGCGTCTAGTGTAGAAGCGAAATGACAGAAGCAAAAGAAGAAATCAGAATTTTGTGTGTGTTAAACTCAATTTTATTTTGTTTTTCAGTGAAAGCTGCCAAAAATCCTGGTCATTATTTTGCTGAACGTCTTTACGAAAGTATGAAAGGGGCTGGAACTAATGACAGAGCTCTCATCAGGATAATTGTGTCTCGCAGTGAGGTAAGTTGTTTGTTCATGGTGTCTCTATGTGAGATATGGTGATGAATCATAGTGGTTCACAGTGAGCTAGGTTAAGTAGTAATAGTGTTTCTGAATGAGGTAGGTTGATGTGTCATAGTGCTCTGGAGTAGGGTAGTTTGATGCATCATAGAGAGGTAGGTTGCTAAGTCAGAGAGAGGTAGATTGATGAGTCAGAGGTGGATTGATGAGTCAGAGAGAGGTTAATAGATAAGTCAGACTGAGGTAGACTGATGACAGATGAATGTGGACAAATGAGTCAGAGAGGGGTTGATTGATAAGTCAGATTCAGGTAGACTGATGACAGATGAATGTGGACCGATGAGTCAGAGAGGGGTTGATTGATAAGACAGATTGAGTTAGACTGATGACAGATGAGTGTGGACCGATGAGTCAGAGAGTGGTTGATTGATAAGTCAGATTGAGGTAGACTGATGACAGATGAGTTTGGACCGATGAGTCAGAGAGGGGTTGATTGAAAAGTCAGATTGAGGTAGACTGATGACAAATGAGTGTGGACCGATGAGTCAGAGAGGGGTTGATTGATAAGACAGATTGAGGTAGACTGATGACAGATGAGTGTGGACCGATGAGTCAGAGATGGGTTGATTGATAAGTCAGACTGAGGTTGACTGATGACAGATGAAGGTAGACCAATGAGTCAGAGAGGGGCTGATTGATAAGTCAGAGTGAGTTAGACTGATGACAGATGAAGGTAGACCAGTGAGTCAGAAAGGGGTTGATTGATAAGTCAGAGTGAGGTAGACTGTCGACAGATGAATGTGGACCGATGAGTCAGATAGGGGTTGATTGATAAGTTAGATTGAGGTAGACTGATGACAGATGAATGTAGACCAGTGAGTCAGAGAGGGGTTGATTGATAAGTTAGATTGAGGTAGACTGATGACTCAGATGGAGGTGGCCTGATGAGTCAGAGAAAGGTTGATTGATAAGTCAGAGTGATAGAGATTGTGATGTGGATTGATGAGTCAGGGTGAGGTAGACTGATGAGTCAGAGTAAAGTAGATTAATAAGTCAGGGTACGGTAGATTAATGAGGCAGAGAGAGGTAGATTGATGAGTCAGAGTAAGGTAGATTAATGAGTCTAAAGTAGATTGATAAGTCAGAGTAAGGTAGATTGATGAGTCACGGTGTATCTGAGTGAGACAGGTGTATGAAAAAATGTCTCATAATAAGACTGGTTGATGAGAAATTATGTCTCCTTATGAAGTAAGTTAATGACATTTGTCTGTCAGGGTGAGACAAGTTAATAAAAACATTTGACTCAGAGTGAAATCATATGATAAGAAATTGTGTCTCAGAGTGGGACTGGTTGATGAAAAATTGTGTCTCAGGGTGAGATGGGTTGATGAGAAATTGTATCTCTGGGTAAAATGGGTTGATGAGAAAGTGTGTCTCAGAGTGGGACTGGTTGATGAGAAATTGTGTCTCAGAGTGGGACTGGTTGATGAAAAATTGTGTCTCAGGGTGAGATGGGTTGATGAGAAATTGTGTCTCAGAGTGGGACTGGTTGATGAAAAATTGTGTCTCAGGGTGAGATGGGTTGATGAGAAATTGTATCTTAGTGTGAGATGGGTTGATGAGAAATTGTGTCTCAGAGTGGGACTGGTTGATGAGAAATTGTGTCTCAGAGTGGGACTGGTTGATGAAAAATTGTGTCTCAGGGTGAGATGGGTTGATGAGAAATTGTGTCTCAGAGTGGGACTGGTTGATGAAAAATTGTATCTCAGGGTGAGATGGGTTGATGAGAAATTGTGTCTCAGAGTGGGACTGGTTGATGAGAAATTGTGTCTCAGGGTGAGATGGGTTGATGAGAAATTGTGTCTCAGAGTGAGATGGGTTGATGAGAAATTGTGTCTCAGAGTGGGACTGGTTGATGAGAAATTGTGTCTCAGAGTGAGATGGGTGGATGAGAAATTGTGTCTCAGGGTGGGACTGGTTGATGAAAAATTGTGTCTCAGGGTGAGATGGGTTGATGAGAAAATTGTGTCTCTGGGTAAAATGGGTTGATGAGAAAATGTGTCTCAGAGTGATATGGGTTGATGAGAAGTGTCTCAAAGTGATGAGTCATAACTGTCAGTGGTGAAACAGTTTAATGAGAATTTTTCCTAGAGTGATATAGTTTTTTTTAAAATTAGTGACCCTTATCTGCCTTTGGTGCCTCGGGCATATGGTACTGGACCATTAGTTTTATAAACCAACTGGCACCTTATGGGTTGTGTTGTCAACATCATACAAGCTGCTTCTACTTCCCAGAATATTATCTGTACCCATTTTAGGCCGGTACAACCAGGAAGTCAATTTTGAAGAAATAAATCAGCCTCAGTGTAGATTTGAACCCGAGACATTCGAGCCAGCATAGAGGATCCTAGGTCTAGTTTTTGTGTGTGTGATTTTTTCCTCTTTGTGGATGGACATAGCAAGCTTGCTAGCCCCGGCCTATCTCAGTTCCCAACTTAGCGATGATAGTATGGTATTGGGTGGTCAGTTGCCTTGTTTTTTGACATTTTAAAGACACTCTTAAATTGTCTTCGCCTCTGACATTGGTCACTAGAAAGAAAATTTTCTCTGTGACACATCAAGCACACATTGCTAGATTCATAGTTATATAGACCAGTTGGGCACTCGATTAGTGATATCGTAAGTATTAGGCAAACTGCCTTTATTTCCCTGGGCATTTCATGGTACCCCTTTTTGGCTAAGTTGATGTGAAAGCCAAAAGTCAGCCTTGTTTTGTTTTCCCAAATCCACCTGGGGCTCAGATTCGAACCCAAAAAGAGAGGAACACTGACAGACATAAAACCTTCCATACTTTCTCTCCCTGGTTTGCTAGATTGACATGGTCATCATCAAACAAGAATTCCAGAAAGCCTATAGCAAAACCCTGGCTAGCTTCATCAAGGAGGATGCCGGCGGAGACTACGAGAAAACACTTGTTGCCATCGTCAAAGAATAACAGCTCGTTGAGGAGAATTGAAACTGTGCATGCATTATAGAACAGTAGACTTCATGTAGACTGCATGTGCAGATAGATACACTCATTTCATACCATATGTTACCCTTTCTCTTTCCCACTAACTTCTAGTTGTAGTAGCAGCAGCAGCAGTAGAAATAGGCATCTTTCCGCCTCCTGGGACTATAGAGTTGTACCACTGGACATGAACACATAGATATATAGACCTAAAAACTGGTCTCTAATCACAAACACATGGAAATTTAGACCTAAAAACTGGTCTTTGATCATAAACACATGGAAATATAGACCTAAAAACTGGTCTTTGATCATAAACACATGGAAATATAGACCTAAAAACTGGTCTTTGATCATAAACACATGGAAATATAGACCTAAAAACTGGTCTTTGATCATAAACACATGGAAATATAGACCTAAAAACTGGTCTTTGATCATAAACACATGGAAATATAGACCTAAAAACTGGTCTCTGATCACGAGCACAAAGAAAATGCATGCATACAAAAAGGCTTGGCACCCGTGGAAGTTGAATAAAATATATTTTTTCTAGCATTCCATATGAAAACATTATCAGAGAAATAAAACTATCTTTCTCTCTGTTTCTCTCCCTGGTTTATCAGATCGACATGGTGATCATCAAAAATGAATTCCAGAAAACCTATGGCAAAACTCTGGCCAGCTTCATTAAGGGAGACACCAGCGGAGACTACAAGAAAACGCTCATTGCCATCGTCAAAGAATAACGTGTAACATAGGAGGGGAAACTTTTCATGTCTATTTCTTAAACTGTGCTTCATCTATCCATAATGTTGGGGAGTTATTTATGGTGTCTTGAAGTGCTTCTTTGGCTGCAGATTATATGGCATAATGCTGGTTTTCCCACTCACACTTCCTTTGTTGCTGTTTTTTTTTTTTTTAAATATGTTTGTTTTTTTTCCCTACTTGCATGCCAACTGTTGCATACTGTTTTTGTCATTTATGTCATATGTGTTGTATAAATAACACAATAGTATAATGGTGATGATGATATGATTTTCATTTATGTTTTCTAAAGGTTTAGACAGGCGTCCTTTACAAACAGTGCTTATGGATTTTAATCTGCTGCTTTTGTTTGCACTTTTTTTTTTTTTTTTAACATTTCCTGGCTTTAAAAAAATCTTCTTTCATGTCAGTTTTAATTCTTCCTTTCTCTGTCATGCATGCAGATGTGCTTTATGATTTTATTTTTTTGCCAGTTCAACAGTGAAAAATAAATTGTGTTTGTTGCATGCATCAGGTGTTATTTTCATTTTGGTTACAGATTGCATTTGTTGGGTCTTATATATAGCATGGTTTTTTTAAATGGAATAACATGATACTTCTGTGGAATAACATGGTTTTTCTATAGAATATCATGCTTTTTCAAAAGAATATCATTTTTTTCTATTGAAAACATGGTTTTAATATGGAGTACCAGCAGTTCTTATATTTTCATTCACTTGTTTGTGGAAATCAAACAGGCTCTGGTGCAACAACTCTGTATGAAAAGGATGCTTTTGTATGATATAAAATGAGAAAGGCAATGTATTTTTGTCATATCGAACAGCATTATCATTCTAGTGAAATTCATAATAGAAGAATGGATGGAAAAAAGTTAGAGGACATCAAATTTATAAAATGGACAAACAATATAAGATATAGCAGAGGGAAATAAACAGCAAAAAAGAACGGCTATTTCTAGAGGTCCATTGTTTGCTACAGTTTTTTTTTTTTATGTAGCCAACCCATTTCTTAATTTTTTTTTTTTTTAGCCAACCCATTTCTTAATTTTTTTTTTTTTTTAGCCAACCCATTTCTTTATTTTTTTTTTTTGTAGCCAACCTATTTCTTTATATTTTTTTTTTTAATAAGATCTCAAGTTATTACAGTTTAAAACTACATCCAAATTTAAGAACAAATCATTTTGTTTACAAAACTTACTACAGTTCAACATGTCTTATTTATCTATACCCACATATATATATGTGTGTGTGTGAATGCATGCATACATACATACATACATACATACATACATACATACATACATACATACATACATACATACATACATACATACATACATACATACATACATACATACGTACATACATATGTACATACATACATACATACATACATACATACATACATACATACATACATACATACATACATACATACATACATACATACATACATACATACATACATACATACATATGTACATGCATACATGTGCATACATATGTACATGCACGCATGCTCACACACATATATATCTAAAGTTTAAACCACACTTGAACTTTATGGCTTAAAAAAATCACTTTGTATTCACAACAGTATTACAACTGACTTCAAGAGTGAGTTTTCTTTATTGTTATTTTCTGTTGATTGGAAATTAATAATTTAAAGAATCAGTTGTTATTTGTTGTAATGAGCAGTTGTGTTTTATGGTTTGACATTGCCCAGAACATGATCATGGAAAAGATCATCAATGTTGATATACTAACCTTTTTGCCCTAAGTATCTGTAACAAGCAGATGCTTAGGGCAAAATTGTTATAAACATACTACGAAGTCGATTGTGCCCTGTTCTAAGGCATAGAATAATAACTTGCTCTGGTCTGTCCATATTATGGTAATTGTCTTGTGCCGGTTTGGGGGCTTTCTGATTGATTTGATTATTCTCTTTTTCTGGTGATGAGAGACTGGTATGTCAGGTTGTTCTTCAGCTGCACCTTTCTTAGCTAGTTTACCAGCTCTTTCATTTCCAGGTACTCCACAGTGTGCAAGTGTCCACTGCATAGTTACCTTACACCTCGCCTAGTTTGGGGAATGATGTAATAGGTAATTTTCCAGGCTGTAATGCCTGAAGTACGGCTTTTGAATCTGTCAGGAATACCACGAGTTGTGAAGTATGACGTATATTTAACAGTTTCTCTGCTGCTATTTTGATGGCTTGAACTTCTGCATCGTAGTTGTGACAGTGCTTTCATGTAGGCATGTAGGTATTTTGGCGGTATATCTGGTATTATTTGGATGTTCAATATACACTCCTGCCCCTCCATTTCTGCTTGTGTTTTGTACTGACCCATCCATATAGTCACGAACCCAAAGATTCTCTGGGTATTCATCATCAGGTAGAGCAAGGTTTTACATTGCTTTGAGTGATTGTTTTTTTTATTCAACTCTTTCAGTCCCAAGGAACGCATCATACATTCATAGGTTGCTACCTAAAAGCCCAGTAAGCACAAGATGTGCTGATTTTACGTCTGTCTTGCCTACCTCTTTGGGCTCTCATGCTAAACCCCCAGGACTCAAAGAGTTAAACATATTCAGAATAGTGTGAACTATATATTGCATTTTGTGTTCACATCTCACAAAATGTGTTTCACAGTAAAATTGGTTTGGGCAGTTTTTTCCCCTTTCAGTTTACCCACATCAAAGAAAAATGCAGTTTGCAGAATCGAAGTTGCCTATAGATATTTCAGTCTCTCAACATTAAAGACAATCTACGCCTTCACGGCATGACAATAGCCAGTGGCAGACAGCTTGCACTGGATCGCAAATTATTCCTCCCCATGACGCTTAATGGCAGAAGTGGTTTATGATGATGATGACAAAATGTAATATGGAAAATGTTTGAATGCATGTAAAGCTGCATTGCAGCACACCTGATGATTTTGGAACAAATCTCTGGAGACTTCCTGCCTGCGTGAACTCACTGTAGTCACTAGATAAAACTGAGACAGCAGAAGACAAATCAGAGAACACAACAGTTTGAAATTCATCTTAACAAAGACACATTCTTGCTTGCTGCATGAAGAAATCCATTGATTTGTTTTAATGAAGACAGCGGTTTGAAATCTGTCTAGATTTCGACCCATAAATGATACATCCTTTTCTGTTCCATGAGAGTACTCCATTGCTTTGTTTTAAAGAACACAACAATTTGAAATCAATTTTGACTGACCCATGAATGATACATTCTTGTCTGTTCCATGAGAGTACTCCATTGCTTTGTTTTAAAGGACACAACAGTTTGAAATCCATCTTGACTGACCAATATATGATACATCCTTGTCTGTTCCATGAGAGAAATCCGTTGCTTTGTTTTAAAGGTTAACCAACATTCCTGCTGGCAAACCCACTCCACACTGGACTACAGATTATTTCTTAACAGTCGGTGCCCTAATATAGCTGTGTTAAATATCTCTGCCGGCGTCTATGGCTTAGGCATTGTGAACGCGCTTTGTAGCGCCGGGTTCGATCCAACCTGCAGATGATTTGTCTTGTGTTGGTTTTGACAGTGGTACTGAGAGCTGACCATTCAGAAGCAGTGGCAAACTACTGAACGTAAAACTTGCCTAGAGAAACCACGACAGCTAAAAAAATCCTGGGGTTGGTTCAGAAACGATTCTGTGAAGGATAAGCAATAAAGTTTTTTTTTTAAATCTGCACCTGATTATGGTTGGCGTATGGCTTAAGCCTTGCAAGTCTCACTCGTAATTCCAATGTACCGCGATTCAAAACCCACAGCTGGCATCGTGGATTTTTATCATGGTATGGGGCGTCGCAGGTCAACCCAGTCTAAATTGGGTACCAGGATGTATGTTCTGGGGAAGTAAAGATGGCCGGCGTAATGCTGAGCACCTAGTGCCCAATGATCTGTAAAAATATGGGTGCTCTTCCCAAATGCCCGATGCGTCTAAAGGTGTGTGAAAAGGGATCTTTACTTACTTTACCTGATAAGGGTTTCTGAGATTTGCTCAAGATGGATTCTCACTCAGGCAGTGGCTCTTTGTGTCACTGAGTGTTAGTCTTGTCAGAATACAGTCTTGGAAGGGGGAATTTAAAACAAACACACTCATATTAATTGTGACAGTGTCTGTCTATGTGTCCTTGCCAGTGGTTCTCAACTTGAATAGTCAGTTCTGACAATCTGTTGATCAAAGCGATTTTGTTTTATTTGAACAAACTTGTTTTGTGGTTATTGAACCTTGTGTCAGATCTCAAGCATCTTTCTTATTCTTGCTACTTCTTCTGTGATTTTATTTAACATTTTGTTATTCTGATGATGTTTCTGTACTTTTTTAATCATTTATACAAGATACTGACATCATTATAGACAAATAAATACTATTCAGTTTTTGTGATAGAATTGTTGAATTGTGGTGAATGAATGAATCAGGAATTGACATCCCTCACTTGGGACATTTCCACACGTGTTCTATTCCATTGTTTTGCTCAAAAAAGTATTTTTTTTTTAAATTCAATTATCACAGTCAAATAGCATCCCTGAAGGGGATAATAGATCAAACCAATCTAATGTCGCTCCTGATTTCCCAGAACTTTTTTCCCATGTTAAACTCGCGAGCCAATCCATAAAACCTAAACACAGATCCGTACAATCCGTATCCACAGCTCACATTTCCCACATCACAGTCAACCAGGAATCTTCAATCCCCAATCCACAGCCAGAAATCTTCAATCCCCAATCCGCAAAATCACTGGATCATTAGCACGTCTTACTACTCACGGTGACTTCCCTTTCCTCAGTAGCTAGTGAGGAATCATCATGGTAATAGTACTAGCTGCAACCTGTGCCCGGCTCTCTAGCGTAGTTAACTAAACCGGATTGCGCGGAGACCGGATGACGAACTCCTTGTGGTCCGCGTTCAATCCCGGGGGTAGGCAGGAAAGCCACATTTTTTCCCAGATTTACA